GGTTGTCTTGTTTTTAAAAAAAGTTTTAGTACTTGTTCTGTTAGGTCTCTCTCTTCCTCTGTTGTCTTCTACTTCTACTTTTGAGTTCAGAAAATGTTTCTCGAATGAATCATAGTGTTTAGTTTGATATGGCCAAAGTAAATGTAGGTCAATTTTCAGTTTCCTGACGTTCTGACCAGGAGTAGAGAACCTCAGGACCACTGGTTTCAATTGGATTTTTTAAAATTTTAATTTAGAAGAGGTCTTACAGCGCTCGCAACAGCATAAGGCCATATGAGCGCCAAGGGGTGGATGTCAACAGAGAAGTCCATACAGGGAATCGGGCTTACTCTGCTCACTTCTCTAGCTTCAACAGCACAAAGTCTGCTTCGACTATCAAGGCAACCCGGAAATAGCGGGTCACAAGAGTGTGACAAACATACAAAAGAATTAGAGGAAAAATGACCATAGTAAGGATGAGGAAAGAAAAAGCATCAGTTCCCCGTAAGTTGTTCCGGCACAGTATGAGCATGACATCTAAATCAACCCAATTACAATTCTACTGTGCATAAGAACATGCTAATATCCCCCCTTTGGGAGTGGCCCAAAGACACTTCAGTCGGTAGCACTGCCCTGGGGGACCTCCATCGCTTGTTTTCTACTCCTACCGTACCTTTGTGTTCAGAGTCAGAGTATGGTTCTCGAGAGAATCATAACGTTGGTATGACCAAAGTAAATCAATTTCAGTTTCATTGATCATCCATTGTGTTTTGGGGTACCACTGGTATCAACATAATAAATCAGATTTCTTTCCAGTCCAAACTCAAACACACTGAGACATTTTTTTAAAATGCAGGAGTTTTTACATCCCTATTGACACACACAGTTTTGAGTCGATTAGGAGGCGGGTGTCCAACTCTGCCTGTCAGAGCCAATCTAGGCTGACTGAAAGGGATACAACACACACCCCTACTGAAAGCAGGGATGCCACTCAACTTTTTTGAAAATATCTGAAAATCCATGGGCCACGGTCTCGCTAACATATGAATATCAATTTGAAACCCAAAGGGTGTGCGTAGAGAGAAATGAGGAACAAAGTTTAGTTTTAGTAGAGGATTTTACAGCGCTCGCAAATGCATAAGGTCATATGAGCGCCAGAAGATTAGAGGCGTTACAAGAGAGTAACAAACATAAAAAAGAAGCAGGGGAGATAAGGACGATAGAATCGATAGATCTGTTTGATAGGAAAGTAGAAGAAGCAAACCACACCAGAGCACCTGTCAACCACCCACGACGAACAAACAAAAACAA